GGATAAATACGGTGAAATACATGAGTATCTTTGAAAATAGAATGATTTAAGTGAAAATACGATATTTCAAACAACAACTGTTTTTATTTTCCTGAAAACGGGCGAAAATGTGGCAGTGTTTAAACTGTGCGGCTGATTGATTGTGAGTGATGTCATCCGGCTTCCTTAGCTGGGTCATTTGTGTATAACTGTAGTAACCCATGTTGCACGCCGGATGTCGTGAAATCCTTTGTTTTATAATCCAGTTGCCGTCCCTCTCTTTCTAAGGTCTGTGTGTGAACTCACTAATTATTTACTTGATTTATTTATATTTATTTTATGCTAATTGGGGTGCTGTTTTGTTCATCATACAGGGTCAATTCAACGCTTTTGTTATCAGTCTGAGACTACATTTCTCAACGAAAGTTAATACATTCAAGCAAGTGATAGAAATCCACAGGGAAGAATTCAAAAGGCATCAAGGTTATTGGGATGAAACCTTAGCTGTAAGTGACATCACCTCTATATATTTTCATTGTAATGTTGGCTCTGTGTTCAGCAGCTTGAGAAATGGTTCAAAGTGACAAGAATAGTATATAACAAGCCTTTTTACTCGTATGAGAGTCATCTTCAGTCACATGACAATCATCGTCAGTCACATGACAATTATCGTCAGTCACATGACAATCAGCTTCAGTCACATGACATTCATCTTCAGTCACACAATGTTCATCTTCAGTCACATAATATTCATCTTTAGTCGCATGATATTCATCTTCAGTCACATGACGTTCATCTTCAGTCACATGACGTTCATCTTCAGTCACATGATGCTCATCGTCAGTCACATGATGCTCATCTTCAGTCACATGACATTTATCTTCAGTCACATGACGTTCATCTTCAGTCACATGACGTTCATCTTCAGTCACATGACGTTCATCTTCAGTGACACGACGTTCATCTTCAGTGACACAACAATCATCTTCAGACACATGACAAGCATCCATAAATTAGCTCATGTTTTACATTTGATATTTTCTGTATTTAAACATATTCTTTATTTATTTATTTACTTCTATAAATCTAGAGTTTAAGTGCCAGAAATAAGCAGCTACTGAAGGACAAGAAGAGACTTCTCATTATCAATAAAGTAGAAATTGAAAGACTGGAAAAAGAGAAGGTAATACTTTTTATTTACTTTTATTATTTCTTGGATACTGTAACCCAGGCTGTTAAAACTGGAGACGTTAAAAGAGTATTGTATCTCAATGTAAAATTGTACAACAGAAATATGTTCTATTGGGATTGTGTTTGCTTTGTTAATTATTCTGTTTTTATTTCAGGAGCAAACAATTACAGAATTAACTCACCAAATTGACAAGGAGCATGGACAGTACACGCTAGCTACTAAAGACTATGAAAACTTGAAGAAAAAATATGAATGTGAAATAGAAGAAAAGAAGGTAAATATTGTATTTCATGTGCATTTATTTACACTGTAGTGTTGTGTTTATTTTTACTCTATCGCATACTGGTATTAAGGCATTCTTTAAGAAAATATTTTTTGCATAATAATCCCTTATCAGATTGTCATTTTGGTTACTATAAAGCAGAAATACAGACGACTTTTTGGCCACGTTTTTCAATTTTCCACGCAATCACACATGCTCTTGAAAATCTTTCTGGTGAAGGAAACATAGTTAGATAGATAGATAAATTATTTGAAACACAAAACTTTGTATCTACAATACATTGTCCATGGTCAAGAAACTAATCTATTAACAACACAATAAAAACACCACAACAACAACGAGAATAAAAGTTTTAGAAATAATTTAAAATGGAATGGATGAATTTGGCAAGGCTATTGCCAATGAAGCTATCTTTTGTTCCAAGCAAGCTTGAGAGCTCGCTATTAGAGGAGTCATAACAGAGAATTTCTTTATTAAAAACAGCGTGAGCTTTTGAAATTTCACTGTTGTTACAAGTGAAAATAACATGAACTTTATCACCAATAACCTGCTAGTCACAAAGTGTACAAAGTCTTTCTACTGGAGGTATTCCTTTATAACGCAGCCTTTCAATTGGTAATGAATGGTCAGAACAATAGTTATGAACAATAGTATATGTAGTTGATTTTTTTAATAATCTTAGTAATGAAAAAAATACGGGAAAATGTTCATCAAAGGAATTATGAACATTCTGTCTATGATAAACTTTACAGGCACTGGATGATGAGTTGGAAAAGATGAAGATGGAAATTGAAAGACTGGAACTCGTGTTACAATCCCAACCTGATAGATCAGCTAGCGGTGACAGTGCTGTTGTTGGCACCGCTGTCACTGGCATGGCGACATCTACCACAGTTGTGAAATCACTTGATAATGAAGAAAGAAGAAAATATGAATTAGAAATCAAGTCTTCCATGAAGGTAAGGACGTCTCAGCTGTTTATAGGTATATATCTATTTCACAATGTGTGTACATTGTATCATAAGAAAAGTCTACAGTGGAGACATTTGCATCAAACAAAAACAGCAAATTTTGAAAATGTAATTCAGCCCATTATGTGTAACATCGTTTTTTATCGATTATTATCTTCTCCACTTTTTTGCTATCTAACAAATCAATGAACAGTGTGAACATTTTTGATCCTGGAAATTGTGAATCAACATCGGAAATATTTGACATAGTAATGTTTAAATGATTAGTATTTAAAACACTCATGCAGTATCTCAGTTGTTTAGAAAGTTGATTTAATTTTTTTTTATTGGTTTTAGGAACTGGCTTTGATGAAAGCAAAATATGATGCACTGATGTTACAATTTAACTTGGTGGCTGATTCTGTCTCTACTGATAAAGAGAAAACACAGGAAACTATTGTGGTGGTATCTAGTGAGAAAGATGAACTGCAAGAGGAGAGGGAAAAGTTAAAGCAGGAAATCAAGGAATGGGAAGAGAAATTCAAGAAAGAGAAGGGACGAGAGCCATCCGAGAAAGACAAGTGAGTCATTCAACTTTTCTCTTACTCGACTGTTCTCAAATGTTATACTGTGTAAACCACAGCTTTTGTGAGAGACTCATTTTTGAAAATTTTTGAGATTTTACTTGGGTTCCATAATAAAAACAGTAAAAATGACTGAAATTTCAACAATTCCCAGTAATCTAAGGCTCTGTATGCACTTTACTCTTAACTTGAAGAATACATGCTATTTTTGATTTCTCTTGAAACTGATAGAAATTACTCACAGAAAGTGCTGAAAATGTTGACACTAATTGGTTTGCTAAGAATAACCATTATATAATAACTCTCTCATACATTATAGTGCCCTCATACATCCATTCTCAACAAATCTTTTTTTTTTACTGGAAACAATTGACACATATGTGTGATGCTTTGGTAATTTTACTTTCTGCAGAAGTAGAGCTGTAAAGAAACTAGATGAAAAAAGTGAGAAAGTGGAAAAGAAAATATCTCAGTTGGATGTGAAGATTGAGACACTAAATGCTTTGAAAGAAGGTAAAGTTCCAGAACCAACAGTTGTCAAAGTGCCTGAACCTGTCGTCAAAACTATAAAGGTAAAGGACCACTGTATTGTGATGATTTAATGCAATTTCAATTCCAGAAATTTAAACCACTGTGGCAGTACAAATGTACATACTGATTTGCATAACATTTGCATAAATTTTCATAATTATTCCAAAAGTGTTACAATGACACACAAGTTTTATTTATGCGGAATATCGCTATTGTCATGATATTATTCTAAAATAGAATTATATGTGAAAAGGTTACAAAAAATAAATTTATCTATGAGTGAAATTCAACATTAGAACGATATGCAATAATTTTATAGGTTAAAGTCCCAGATCCAGAGTTAGTTGCAGCATTGGCTGCCTCAGAGAAACGCAACACTGAACTACAACAAAAGATCCAAGAACTGGAAAACTCACTTAAAGACAAAGATAAAAATATAAAAGTTCTTCAGAAGGATAAAAAGAAACTAGTTAAGACTAAATCGGTGCAGAATTTACCTGTGAAGAGCTGGAAAGATGATAAGAATTCAAGAGTTCTGTTGGAAGCTGTTATTAACCAGGTCAGTATTACACTCAGTAAATCACAATAATTTCTGATATAATTTATACCTAGTGTAATTTTAGTGTTTTTTTTGCCGGAATGTTCATTAATTGTGGTTGTGTACCAGGAGACAATAAATGACAATAAATTGTACAAGTCTTTCTGATAGTGAATGGTCACACAATAATATTTGGTTAATAATCTCTGTCAGTCCTACCTGGAGTTGAATACTCAATTAATCAACCCTAACCTGAGTGAGTGTGCCACAGATAAGGAAGACTACTGGCTGACAATCATTCACTAACAGGCATTACTCTGGCAAAACCTTTGTTAATATATCGCATTTAATTGCCATAATGCTGTAATGATAGCAAGGTGGTCACAGAGCCATGTCACATAGGCCCAAATATGGAACATGATTTCTGTGGTAGAATCTTAAATATCCTAAAGGTATATGATCATTATGTGTAGGTTCATGATATTCATGGTGAAGTGAAAAAAGCTTCTAAGAAAACGTCAACAAGACTTGAATCCACTGAAGCAGAGAAGGCGAGATTGATACAAATAAGGGACCAAACCAAGCAGGATATTGATGCTTGGGTTGACAAGTATGTTGGTGAGAACGGTGCAGAACCTACAGAGTCAGACAGGTAATGGTGTATTTCATGATTTCATGTCAGTGTGCTACACTCATCTCTGGTATCTACCACTAAACAAGTACCCTGAAATTCCTCAATATAGACTTTCAGAACTATGTTGAAGGATGATAATATATTACACATAAATTTGCATTTTTCAGTGAAAATAAATAACACCAAACTT